CAAGCCGTGAATATTAGGTTAGCCTGTTACATCCTTTTTTCATAAAAAAATTGTTCGTGTTTATAAATTTTTAAATTTAACGAACTTATTTATTCAAATTATCGTAGACAAAAATGCAACCATGTGCCACAATCATATGTTTTTCGTGATTGCGAATTCTGCTGGCTAAAATTTTTCCAGAAAGATTTTGCACTCTCTCTCTAGGAGAACTGTCACTTTGCGCTCTCAGTTGTTGAGTGATGGATAATTTTTTGGTCTGCACGAATGCGATTTGGGCATAAATCGTGATAATTCGTACAAATTTTTTGTTCGACGAACAGAACTAATATGCCTTGGGTAATTTCAATTGTGCAATCAATTGACAGCTATAAAACTGATGCGTTCGTTTTAAAATTTAGTTAGTGGGAAACGTGTTCCGAATATGTTTTAAGTCTGCTTTTTAGTTGTTGCGTCGTAAAAGATTTATTTTGAAATCTCCAAACGCTCAACACGGATATCCGAATAGTCCTAGCCATGATAAAAAAAAATAGGAAGGTAGATCCGCTGAGAGGAATTTTTCAAATTCTTGACGTTTGCAAGCAATTTAATTTTAAAATTTTACACACAAACTCACACACACATTCTCATTTTCAATCTCAAACAACAACAACTTTGAACAATTCTTTTTTTAATCTCAATTTTATATGATTTTAAAATGTTGGTAAACTTCAAAAAAAAAATCATGGCCGACGAATTGAGTGAACGGCTTTACCTTACTATAGAGTACATATGTTTTAATCATAGTCCTAGCCCTACTTAACACCAATTTTAAAAATGTTCAGCACTTACATATCGAGCCCTAACCGCCAAAATAACGTAAGCGAAATTTTTTTTCAAAATTTTCTTTTATGCAGAAATATTCCTACATCATCTAAATTCATTTCTGCATCAAAAAGAAAATTTTGAAAAATAAAATGTCGCTTACTTTATTTTGGCGGTTAGGGCTCGATATGTATGTACATATGTACATAAATTAACTATATTTAGAAAATAATTACAAATAATTTTTTTTTACATATTAATTTTAATACATTTCATGCAATATGTTGTAAGATTCCTTGACGCACTAATGTTTCCACTTGGGCTCGCGGCAAATAGTGCTGACTATTCTTCTTCAAATAAATCACTTCGCCATCTTCCAATTCAAACTTACCGTAATCTTCAACACAGCGCACTTCTATATAGAGTGATTTAGGTGGCCGCAGGTCACCTGTCAAATCTATGCCCTGTCCATCCCCAATGGACCGCATGTAGGAAGCCAGCGACTTTGAGTATGTGTTAAAGAAGTTAACTTCCGGTTCGCATAGTGAAGCTTTAATGTCTGCTGGGATAATTGGACCGAATTCCCAACGAAGGGCTTTTATACGGAGCAAACGTTGGTACAAATATGTTAGTAGGCAACGCTTGTTTCTTTGTAGTGCAGCATGTCGAAAGTTGAGCAGTGGCCACAGCGTGCGATCGCCGGAGGTTGAGTAGTTGGCGCTAAGTTAAAAGTTGTATGAGAAATTAATAGATTTGAGTTATTGTATCTTAGTACTTACGCTTGTGCACAGTTTTCCTCGAAAATTGCTTTGATTTCTTCTAAGACTTGCCGAACACCGTCGTCCTGAGAAACACATGCGTTTGAATTGGAAAATTAGTAATTTGTTTGTACATAGCACTTACGTCGAAAGGTGGGATGGTCTGTGATGAACGTTCCAACTCCTTAATTAGCTCAAAGGCTTTATCGGCAAACATTTTATTTGATTTTGCCATTTTTATGAAATATTTACGTTCAATTCGTCTTTTGTAAAATCGCTGAGCAATCAGCCGCCTTTTTGGGTAATTGTTTACGTTTCGCTTTTGCTTTTACACCTTATTTGCTGACAATTGTGGCAGTGTTGTATAATTAAAAAAATAAATAAATCATAAAAGAATTGTCGGACTGTCAAAATCAGCTGACTGGGGGTTTTTTGGCGGCAATAAAAAATTTACGAAAAGTGAAGTTGAAGCAAAGTCGCAGAAAATATACATAAGTAAAAAATTACGAAGTATTCGAATCATCGCTAGAAATGCCAGAGTATACAATCTCGGGGATAACAGTGCATTTCCCTTTCGAACCCTACGANCCGCTGAGCAATCAGCCGCATTTTTGGGTAATTGTTTACGTTTCGCTTTTGCTTTTACTCCTTATTCGCTGACAATTGTCGCAGTGTTGTATAATTTAAAAAAAAAAAAATCATAAAAGAATTGTCGGACTGTCAAAATCAGCTGACTGGGGATTTTTTGGCGGCAATAAAATTTACGAAAAGTGAAGTTGAAGCAAAGTCGCAGAAAATATACATAAGTAAAACATTACGAAGTGGTCGAATCATCGCTAGAAATGCCGGAGTATACAATCTCGGGGATAACAGTGCATTTCCCTTTCGAACCCTACGATGTACAGACAGCGTATATGGAAAAGGTAATTACTTGCTTGCGCGATGGCACAAATGGAGTATTGGAATCCCCAACAGGGACGGGTAAAACGTTGAGCCTTTTATGTGCATCTCTGGCTTGGCTGCTATCACGTAAATCCGAAATGCAATCATTAGTGCAACTCCATGCAAGAGGTGGCGCTGCAGCTCAGCAAGCAGTGACCGAATTCAATGCAATGCAGGCGAGAAACGCTAACTGGGGCGTTCCAAAAATTATATACGCCTCCCGTACGCATTCTCAATTAACACAAGCAATGCAGGAGTTGAAGCGTACCTCGTACTCGTTTATGCGCGCTGTGGTGTTGGGCTCACGGGATCAACTGTGCATTCACCCAGAAGTTATGCGCGAACAAGGCAATTCCAACAAAGTGCAACTTTGTAAATTGCGCATACAGACGCGAACTTGCANGGGTAAAACGTTGAGCCTTTTATGTGCATCTCTGGCTTGGCTGCTATCACGTAAATCCGAAATGCAATCATTAGTGCAACTCCATGCAAGAGGTGGCGCTGCAGCTCAGCAAGCAGTGACCGAATTCAATGCAATGCAGGCGAGAAACGCTAACTGGGGCGTTCCAAAAATTATATACGCCTCCCGTACGCATTCTCAATTAACACAAGCAATGCAGGAGTTGAAGCGTACCTCGTACTCGTTTATGCGCGCTGTGGTGTTGGGCTCACGGGATCAACTGTGCATTCACCCAGAAGTTATGCGCGAACAAGGCAATTCCAACAAGGTGCAACTTTGTAAATTGCGCATACAGACGCGAACTTGCACATTCTATAATCGCGTCGAGTCAAAGAAAGACAGTGCTGAATTAAAAGAATCGTCCGTAATGGATATAGAAGATTTGGTGCGAGTGGGGCAAAAACTCAAAGTATGCCCATATTATGTATCCAAAGAGTTGACCAGCGATGCGGATATCACGTTTATGCCGTATAACTATTTATTAGACCCTAAAGCACGTAAAGCTAATAAAGTGGAGTTGAGCAATACAATTGTTATATTGGATGAGGCACACAATATTGAAAAAATTTGCGAAGAATCGGCATCAGTGCAAATACGCTCATCGGACATAGCGTTGGCAATCGACGATGTGACGCACGTGATGAAATCAATGATGAATGAAAATGCATTGGATTTTATGAGCAGTGATGAACCAAAAGATTTTAAATTGGAGGACTTAGCATTACTTAAGGAAATGTTGTTGGATCTGGAGAAGGAGATTGATAATATTATTGTTGAAAACAAAGCAGAAGGAACAACATACCCCCCTTCGTTCCTGTTTGAGATATTGGCAGCGGCGAAAGTAAGTGCTATATATCAGTATCCTA